ATCTGCAAGAGCTGTGTCACCCATTAGTTTTACATGGCTGAATGCCAGTGAATACGTTCTATGATGTAAGGTGGACCCTGACTATTTAGAGCCTGTAATGAAGACTTGAATTAATTTTTCCACTTAAACCAAACAGACAGTTGGCTTGAGTTNTAGTTGAGACAAAGCTCAGCATTTAAGTGAGGTGGCTTCTGGACGTAGACAGACCAAAGGTAATGACTTTTGTTTTACTGTTTAGCTGAAGGAAATTGTTTGCCATCAAGCTTTTTATGTCCTTGAACAGCCCATAGAAACTGGAAGGAAGATATTAATTTGGTAAAGGTATTTTATTACAAGGCTATTTTAGTACAGAGGTTTAAACAGAAAATCTACTGGCATTTGCCGCTTGGTGGGTTTTCATTTCTTACTCTGATTAAAGCAGTGTCTTTGAAAGGGTTTTGCATAATATTCTGATGTTTATACAAGGTATTGCCATTCCTTCCATGCAAGGAAAGAAAGGGAAGAAGCAAATTCACACAATGTCATAAATCTTAGCGCCAGAAGAAAACTACTTTTTTTTCAAATCAGCTAAATGTCTTAATCATGCCCCAGTGATTCTGAGCCTGAAGCTACTGAGGACAATAACTGTGTGCTTTGGAGCAAGAGATCAGCAGCAAGGATGATGACGTCTGTAGAGGCAGTTATATAACTGGAGCTGAACATTTTGTCTGTCATAGTTACGAGGTTAAAGAGGGTGACATGAATACCAGTCATAGTCTCAAAAGTCATGTGCACCTCATCAGAATAGTGCAGTATGAAGCAAACAGAAAACTCCATGTTATCTCTTTGGACAACTTTCCTCTGTCAAGGCTTCGAAGCCGCATTCAAAAGAACACTGTCTTCTCAATGGAGACACGGCAGCTGTTCAATAATCAAAATAAAGCCTGACAAGGCATTTTAGGCCTTCAATGATCCAGATGATTCTTAACATTCAGACTACAGTTAGGATGTTACAGACTTTAAATTCTAAAGGATTGACTCAAAAAAAGCTGATCAGCATTTCTAAGTATGGCATAAATGCTGTGATCCATAGAGAAGAATATAAAAACAAGTAAAAGGCATTAAGTGACAGAAACTTTGTTTACAACTGTTTTTCTAACAAATTTCTAGGTTACCCTCAAAGGTAAAATGCAGTATAGATAATGGATGGATGGATGCACATATTCAGATGCAAAATAAAGAAATGAAATGAAACGCACCACAAAGCTAATGTAAGTATCTCAGTGAGTCCATTAATTGGAGGGGAAAAAAGATGCAGTGCACAGTACAACAATACATTACAATAATGTAACAAATTTAAAAAAACATAGAAGAAAACCACAAAACATAAAAAGAGAGAAAAATAAACGAATAAGTACCTATTCATCAAATACTAATCCAGATTGAATATTCTGATGTGACCATGAATAATAAAAAAGCAATAATGTAATTTTGAGCCAATGACAAAAATGTTGTAGCACAGATTTAATTAGCTCATTAGTTGATGACCAGTCAAACAGTCCTACAAAGATATCCAATCTACCCCATTCTCTAATTACTTTTTGACTCTATATAGGAATCTACTCTCTACTTGTTGATAACGCATTGCGATGCACTTGATTTGCTCAACAGTTAATTCAATCAATCAAACTGTACAGTACCTTTCATACAGGTTAGTGCAGTTCAAAGTGCTTCATATTTGACGAGCCAAGACTAAAACAAACGTATGATGCCATTTAGGATTATTTATTTCGAAATAAGTTTTTTTCTGCGCAACACTGAACTTCTAGTACAACTCCCACAAACGCTTTCACATTCACTCAAGCAGCACAAAGTATTCTAGGACTTCCAGGACTGCAATCTGTCTTGAAAGGTTGGACAGAGGACACACATGACACTTATCAGAGACTTTTGTTACAGGCTGTCAAGGAGCATGGGACTCCAGTCTGGTTCTGATTAGTATCACAAATACTTTAAATGCCTGTTAAATAGAGTGTGTGTCCCCACCTCTCTCAGCTTTTCCTATTGTATGACCTACTATTAAATGCTTTCAGAGTTCCATCCATCAATCCATCCATTATCAATATCGCTTATCCTTTGAGGGGAGCTGGAGCCAATTGCAGAGGACATTGAGTGAGAGGCAGTGTACACTCTGGACAGGTCACTAGTATGTTTTTCAGTGTTGCTTTGTTGTCTGATGTCAGTGTCAGGTATTGCGTCTACCATATATGGAATGAATGATGTTTCTTGAACTTGAACCTTGTTTTTCCCAAGTGTACTACTTTTACAGCCAAGTGTGATAAACTACAGCAACCATTAAGACTATACGTTAGCATACAGGAATTAAGTACAAAGGTAAGTTTCCATACACTGTACAAGAGTAATTCTTGCACCCAGAGTCAAAAGGTTTGAATTATTTAGAGAGAATTAAACTCAAAGATTAGGTAAAAAAGAAACACTGATGCCAATGTAAGTCAAATGTGACTATGTAATACTGTAATACTATTAATATAGTGTGGACACCAACAAAGGGCTTCTCATGTTGTGTATAATGATTATGAAAAGCAAGGATGGGTAATTTGCAACCTGTAATGTAAATCAACCTGTTGTCAGATTTAACTCCACTTCATGTGTGTTTGAGATGAATCACCATGGGTTGAACATTGAACATTCATTCTATGTGGAGCGCTGCTCTGTTTTCTTAAAGAGACAGGGGGGGTGAAATGATCCCTTCACAGCAGCACAGACCTGCACCATTTGTGCATGCCGAGTCACACTAAGCAGCTCTAGCAATATTCAGACTAGCATTCAGTTTAAGCTTGCAGGACATGGCCCACTAACCTACTTTCCCCACAACATGCTCTGTAACATCAGAGACGAGGCTGTGTGTCATCAGTTAACTAACGTTCACCACAGCATAGTTTCAGGAAAGAGGAACAAAAACCCAGATACAGTACTTCTTAAGCACAAACAGAATATAAATGATCAGAGTTGTGTCTCAGAAAAAAGAAATCTCCATCAGGCCCCAAGCTTGGTTTGCCCTTGGAGGTGAAATATAATGCTGTAAACTGATATTGCTTGAAACAGCAGTGGAGTGGAGATAAATGAAAAATAAAGACCTGACAAAATGTAATGTAAACAAAGAATAAAGGGAGAAAAATCTTAACCTGTAACTGCGACAGGGTAAAGTAGTGATATGCTAAGTCATACAGGAGTAATTATGTAGGGTTAATTATAAAATATGAAGAAATAGATGTAAATAAATAAGTTTAACTTATTAATGAATCAAACCAACTGTTAGGATTGCTGAGTGAGGATATCTTGGGTTTCCGCTATGTTCTCATGGGCACACCCCATCAGAATCCAAGAATTACATAAACCACACTATAAACTGTTAAACCCTGAAAAGCTTCATTGACACCTGATACCAACAACCCATTGTTCTAAGTTACAAGGCAAACATAAAACAACTACAGCAACTGCATATGTAGTGCACCACCCTGTGGGCGGCTGCTCCTTCCAGTAAACAAATTAAATAATTATGACGTGGCAACATATTGTGAGTGCAGAAGAGACTCTGGACTTTACTGAGTGCTGGCTGATTGGTTATATGTTTGATTATATGTCACAGGTTGTTGTAGCTATTATCAAAAACTGCAGTATTAGTAAAAGTGGATTATTAAAAAGATTGGTAATTTCTGCAGTTCAATATATTTAGTTTATTGCCAGGGCAGTAACAAGTGGCAGAAATAGACATCCATATTGTAAGTGAGATACCTGTCAATAGGGGGCAGCCACAGTGCAGAAAGGATGAGGATCATGATTAACCTCTGACCTCCATAGGGGCAGACTTTAATCCAAAATGGAATACACAAACTTATCACGCCCAGGATAAAAATTCAGATTGATAAATTTACAGTAAAACAGAGCTAAAGATTTTGCCGGAAGGGAGGAGAAGATAGCATTAGTCATCAGGCTGGCCCAAATGTTTCGCAGCATGATGTAAAAAGGAGTGTATGGTGCTTAACAATCCAGTCAGTCATGGGACAGCCCTTCATGTCCCACTCAGCTGTCAGCACATGTCCTGATCACTATTCATGTCTGCTGGGCCAACGTCAGCACTGATGCAGCAAGCCAACAGAGTGGATCAGGCCTCCACACTAGTGTACGTACATCATGATCCTGACCAAAGTCACACACTTGTCATCAGATACAGCAGACACTGACATACGTATAAAAACCTGATTTTCAATCACTCGAAACTAGCCTATACAACCTCAACTGTGAAATTGCTCTTGCTCAATCACATAATCCAGCATGTCCCACTAATTGAAAAGGTCCAAGTAGCCATATCTCTACATGCACAAGAACACCATTTGGATTACTCAACCACATATAGGCCATAATCATATTTCACCCTCCTGGAGTCATACAATATGTTTGAATGTCCCACATATGATGATGTGCCTGTACATAAAGTCAACCAGCAGCTGCTCTCCATACAGCCAAGTCAAGACATAAACTCCATGGCCTCCCAACACCGTTTCATTGGCGTCTAGTATCAATTACTCATAGCACACTGCCTCTCATCATATTAATACAAGAGAAAATATTAAAACACATTTGAAAATGCTGTGTATCTGCAGTTTACAGTCAGTCAAATGTCATCCTGATATTAGCTAAAAAAAACACAAGCACCCGTTAACTTAATGCATTAGCTAATTAGCCTAAAACAGTCTAAATATCCACTGAGGAAAACAAATATGTTTTGTGTATTTGTATACGACTGCTTTGAATATTGTGAAGCAAATTACGTCGAGACAAGACTTTGGTGAAAAACAGACTGTGAGTAAACTGTGTTTTTCCAAAGAGTTTCTACTTTTTACACCGTAAATGTTTCGCTAACGTGAAGCTAGGTTTGTGGGTAGAAGTGACGAAGAGACGCTGTGGACAGAACCGAGAACACGGAGGTGGAAACTTACCTCAGACGGAGCCAGACGGGGACATGTGGGAAAGAGGCTGTAACCGGCAAAATGATCACAAAAAAAAATACGACGTCTTATATTCCCAAAAAAAAAGTTTCCCACAGATGAAACTTCGCTGCGCCTCCGTGCACAGATGATTCTTACCGGTGAGTGTGAGAGAGAGAGGGGCCGCCTGTTGAGAGGCAGATCCTGATCCAGCCCAGAGCCCGTCCCAGCCCACACACTTCACACCTCACAGCTTACACCGTTTTTCCACAGAGAGGTGCTCACAACGTGTCCCGTCCACTGACACACACACTGACACACACACGAACACACACGAACACACACGTGAACACACAGTGACAGGCAGATAGACGAGGGGCTGGCTGAAGACCTCTGTGCAGCCAGTGCGACCACACTCACAGTCCCGCCCACTGGACTGGATATGCTCCTCAATAAAGTGTGTATGTGTGTGTGTGTGTGTGTGTGTGTGTGTGTGTGTGTGTGTGTGTGTGT